GATTATGAACTATGTTTTCTTGATCTTTCTAGGTACTACTCTGACAGCAATGATTACTTGGAAATTTGCCGCTGCTATAAGGCAATATATGAGATTCCATCTGTCAAAGAAAACTCAGTGCAGTGGATACCGGTAAATCTCATATCAGCTTATCTTCTTTTTCTTTTTTGTGTGTGTGCATTTCAAAATTCTATGGAGCTTCCGTAACAATTTTTTATCCTCAGGTTCTAAGAAAAATCTGTTGGTACTTAGTCCTTGCACCACATGATCCTATGCAGTCAAGCCTTCTTAATTCCACTTTAGAGGATAAAAATCTTTCTGAAATTCCAAATTTTAGGTATGTCTTTGAAGTTACTGTTTCTTGAACCTCTTCAGCACTATGTTGTTTATTGTATGTTATAATTATGAGCTGTTGACCTCATCTGGTTAATGTTCTGCTGCAGATCATTGCTGAAACAATTGGTCACAATGGAGGTTATCCAGTGGACATCCCTTTGGAATACATACAAGGATGAATTTGATGGGGAGAAGAGTTTGCTTGGAGGTCCTTTGGGTGAAAAAGCTGCTGAAGATCTAAGACAGAGAATAATTGAGCATGTAAATTTGCTTGGTCTTTGTTTATTCCATTGGTTATTTCAGACTTGCATTCTTTTGATCCATGTTGTTGAGTTGGAAATTGCATAATTTTTTTCAGAATATCCTTGTTGTTTCTAAGTATTACTCAAGGATCACATTGAAGAGACTTGCGGAGCTGTTGTGTTTGACCATTCAGGTGTGCTTGGTTATGCTGAGATTTTACATTTTCTATTTCTCTGTTAATGTGAAGTATTTTTGACAGTTGTGCATACTGGTTAGATAGGCAAATGAAAAGCTCGTCTTAAAAATGCAAGCATGAAAGATAACTAAGTTACTTATCTATTTTTATCTTGATGATTAATAAACTGTTTTCTCATTTTGATCCAGGAAGCTGAGAAGCACCTTTCTGAAATGGTTGTTTCTAAAACACTTGTGGCCAAGATTGACAGGCCAATGGGAATAGTCTGTTTCCAAATAGCAAAGGATAGCAATGAAATCCTTAACTCATGGGCAGTGAACTTGGAAAAACTTCTGGATCTTGTGGAAAAGAGTTGCCACCAAATACATAAAGAAACCATGGTTCACAAAGCTGCACTGAAAGTTTGAAAACAATGAAATGTTGACTGCAGGTTGGAATCCATCCTTATCCTACTTTATTTAAGGCGACTGACGTTACAATTACATTTCGTCTAAGTAATTGCTTTTCCTTTTTGAAATGATTTTGCAAGGTACAGCCGTGTTGAGCTGGGTGGGTTTGAACTGCAAGGAAGTGATCTTATCTTTGATGAGGCATGCTTTTGTTTGGTTTTCCTTTGGAAGTTCTCTCTTTTGTTTTGGTCAGCGTAGAGAACAGAAGTATGCTTCCTTTAACCGAAAGATTGTCGCCACTGACTAATCCCAGAAACCTAAACCAATAGCAGTGGAATGAAATCATTGCTTTTTCCTTTTTATTTATATTCGTGGCATTGTGTAAGATTTCACATGATTCACACTTTTACTACTATATTCTTTTTAACTTTGACAAAAATGTGTTATTTCACCCAAAATTTAGTGGACCAGTTTCAAAATCATATTGGCCAGTTTGATGATATGATGCCATGTATGTGCTATTTTCCCACTTTTTTTTATCAGCACGATCTTTCCTGCTAGTCGGTGATAGGCTCAAGCTAGGACTGGCACCGCCTATCACCCAAACCTGCTGTAATTTAAAAGCATGGGTCATTGCCCTTGTTCATTTCCGGCACGATATCAATCATTGGTTGGTTTCTTAGGGGACGTCTGTCGTGGTGCAAAGAACTTGAGTCTTTAGGTGAAAATCTTTAGATGGATGGATGTAGTTTAGGAACTAAAAGGTTATTTTTTTTGGGTATTAATCTCTCGATATGTGGTAATCACATTAGGTTTCGATTAATTTAGAATTGAGTTACGTCGGATTTCATAGAGAAGCATTTTTAATGCATGTTTCTTTATTCATGCTAAACAATTATTTTTTATTGTCTAACTTATTATTTAATATATTAAAAGAAATGGAGAAGAACTCCCTCATGTGGCTTAATGGACTGATCCAGAGGAGTTCGCCCGAGTTCAATTTTACCGTTAACATGAATAGATA